ATTTATGTAGAATTGGCATTTGTTAATTTTATTGAATCTTATATATACACAGCCAAGTACATAGAAGCAGTTGAGTTTGTAAGAGTTTGTAATTTAAAATATTGTATGTCACTTTAATTTTAATCCTTTTCGTTTCAGGCCTATCTGGAAAACCTTGACAGGAAGTTGACTTGACCTTAACAATGCCATCCAAGGTCAAACCAATGACACCATCTTATGTTCCCCTCAAAACCATACAATTTTTGTTCAAAACGTTTTTCTATAAAATGCTTAGTTTTTGAAAGAAAAGGGGTGTACGTGTGGTCTAGGACACCCTGTATAACCTCTTTTGTCTAAAACATTTATCATGATTTTCCGTATTTACTGAGATAAGCGTAAAAAACTATAATTTTTATGGGTTTTTCATGGTTTTCACCATGGAAATCAAATAGTTACCAATTTTCACTATGATATTCGTAATCAGCGCATCAAAATACGTAAGATTACTGAGTTTCAAAAAAATCGGGGGTGAGTACTTTTCGGAACTACACCCCATTATAATATTCATAATATATAAACCTTATTCATTTGCATTCAAATTCAGGCTTAATCTAATGTAATCTTATCGTTTTCTGTCCATTATTTTAAGCAGAGGTATTGCTTGTCGCGTTAAGTGAAATATTTTAACTATCGTAGGAATAATAATATTTTGAAAGATAATTTTTTAATCTATATATATAAGTAGCTGACGTCTGTCTGTCTGATTGCGAACTACTCATTCATTAATGGATCGATAAATTTAAATTAGTGATTCAAGATTTCTTTATTAAATAAATGAATAAAAATTAAATGATTTCAAAAAAATAAAACATTAATAGCAATTTTTAGGTATATATCGATCTAATTGTTAGACAAACAAAAAGAAAAAAAAAATTATGAATAGATAACTTTTAAACCAACGCAAAAAAAGAAAAAAGATTAGATAGGCTTTTCGGCCCGCGCGAAGCGCTTCTGCTCCCAATTATGAACACGATCTTCCACCGTCACTACGTAGTGGCTCTAGTAGACAGATTACCAGCATTTACGCTGACACAGATGTACACCGCAGAATAACATATCCATAGATGAGATAGATAAGAGAGATACCCATAGATATAAGATCTATGTATATATTGTATGTACATATATTTATATAAGTGATTTATCGATCATTCTGATATTGATAAAATCTGATTAAAAATTTAATTGTCATAAATTTATATTTCGTTAAATATGTATTTGGCTTATCAAACTTTTTTTATTAAATTTTTAATTTTTTTAAACAAACTTTTTTTGTTGAAATATTATTTTTTCGTTTTTAGCAAACATCGTTCGAGAATAATTGATCGGCAGCTGCAAGACAATGGAATCTTTTGAAATACTGTGCGGTATTACTGCCGTACTTCTCGTTGTTTATTATTATTTTACATCGACCTTCGATTTTTGGCAGTCACGTGGCATTCGCGGTCCACAATCGATACCGGTTTTTGGTAATTTTAAAGATGTTATACTTAATAAAAAAGCCGCAGGTGATTATTTAATGGAAATATACAACAAGTACAAAGATGAATCTATAATTGGAATATTCGTTACGAAGATACCTGTTCTTATTGTAAAAGATCCAGAATTCATTAAGGATATTCTTATCAAAGATTTTACCAAGTTTGCCGACAGAGGAGTTTCTATTAGTGAAAAAGTATGTGCAATTATTTCAAATTGTATAATATAATTTGAATTATATAAATGTGTTTCAATAACTTCGACACGCTACTATATCTTTCCAATAATTAAGATTATTAAAAATCGTGATATTAGTTTTAAATAGTCTTGAGTTTCTTCTCAGTCAAGTTGTTGTAATCCAGCGAAATGTGTTCTCAAATTGAAAAATTTACTCGATTATAATTATGCTCATTATTTATATTGCAGGTTGACCCACTGTCGCAACATTTTTTCGTTCTGGAGCTTAAAAGATGGCGACCTTTAAGAATAAAGCTGTCGCCCGTTTTTACATCCGGTAAACTAAAGGAGATGTTCTCTTTAATATCGGAATGCGCTGAGGGTCTTGAACAATACATAGAAAAACTAGTGAACAAAAACGAGCCTATAGAATGTCGCGAATTGACGGCTAAGTATACGACCGATGTAACCGATACTTGCGTCTTCGGCATCGAGATGAACGCTCTATCGGACGAAAACAGCAAATTTCGCAGAATGGGAAGAATGTTCTTTACGCCAACCTGGAAAAATACTCTGCGAATGAGATTGAGACAATGCCATGGCTCTATGAAATGGCTCTATGAAATGCTCAATTATATTGTAACACAAACGGAGATCAACAAATTTTTCACACTCGTCATCGTAGAAACCATGAATTATAGAGAAACAAATAATGTCATTAATGAATTTATTCTTATCACATGTTTTGTACTATATGATTTAAAAAGAGTTCTAATTTTAGATTAACTAAGCGGGAGGGAGAGCGGGAGGGAGAGCGGGAGGGAGAGCGGGAGGGAGAGCGGGAGGGAGAGCGGGAGGGAGAGCGGGAGGGAGAGCGGGAGGGAGAGCGGGAGGGAGAGCGGGAGGGAGAGCGGGAGGTAGAGCGGGAGGGAGAGCGGGAGGGAGAGCGGGAGGGAGAGCGGGAGGGAGAGCGGGAGGGAGAGCGGAAGGGAGAGCGGGAGGGAGAGCGGGTGGGAGAGCGGGAGGGGGAGCGGGAGTGGGAGCGGGAGGGAGAGCGGGAGGGAGAGAGAGAGAGAAAGCGGGAGAGAGAGGGAGCCATTACGCCACATGATCATACCGCCAAATAAGTAAACAAAGACGCGTGTCGTTATGCGGCATACATAGCGCTATTATATTGTGTATGGAATGTCTCACTTTGTTGTCATTCATACAGTGACAGCGAGTAGGCAACAACTCCATGTGTCGTTATACACGATCGCAAAAATTATTAAAAAATATCTGAAATTCGATCTCTATAATAATTAATAATTAACGATTCACAAGCGATTGCTATCTGTCAAAGCAGATATTAACTTCGTGTGATTTATTGTTATATACAGAATGTTAGAAAAGTCTGGAAATGGTCAAATATCTCGTAAACAATGCATTTTAGAAAAAAATGTTTCAGACAAAAGTTGTATGGTTTTGAGAGAGACATAAGATGGTGTCATTAATTTGACTTTGAATAGTTGCTTGAAGGTCACGTGAAGATCACCTTCAATTTTTTAAATAAAACCGCTGCTCTCGAGATAAGCTACAAGAATATGTAATAAAAAGTAGGCAGTTCCATTTAAGAAATTGAAGGTGGCCTTCACTTGACCTTCAAGCAACTATTCAAGGTCAAATTAATGACACCACCTTATGTCCCCCTCGAAACCATACAACTTTTGTCTGAAATATTTTTTTCTGAAATGCATTGTTTACGAGATATTTGACCGTTTTCTGACTTTTTTAACACGGTTTTTTTTATATATATGTCAGAGAATATTATATTCGCGCGATCTAAGTATATAAAATATGTAAGATATTTAAAGAATAAAAGATTGCGCAAAAGATTGTAAAATATAAAAATGCGATGTTTTCTATCAATATGCCATTGTATTTTTTGTTTTTCGTATTTTCATAGAGCATTTTTCTTGTTTACAGTATTTTACCTTAAAAGCCACCGCTCGATTGCGAGTACATTGCTCGGCATCAGTGAATTCCTTAATAACAGCCACGCGGAAACTCCTTTCCTGGTTCTTTCGAGCGAAAACGAGGGAGATATGAAGCACGGCTCTTTTATCTTCTAATACGTTCATCTACCGCATCCGTCTATTGCAGGCGGTATTAATCTGCATATTTGTTTTCATACACACGCTTTTTATAATCCATTATCACGATTACTTCCTATTCTATAATACGTAAATTGCTATTTTATAATGTTCCATCGGAGATCAGAATTAAACAACATAGTGTCGATATCTTTGAAATCATACATGACAAATGATTTGATTGTACCGATATGTGTACTTTCGATACACTTTCCACGTACTTTCTGCTATCTGCATTCACGCTCTGATTAATTTCTTTGACATGTACGAGAATCAATTGATAAGCGGAATATACTTTTATAATGTACTCGTAGTACCGAGTATTTACATTAAAAACATAAATCCAATTATGAAAAAATAGAAATATTTTATATATAATGTTATAATTATATTTCTACAAATAATATGTATTATGTACACACTCACCCTCCTCCATATATTTTATTGAATATTTATATAAATTAAGAATACAAAAATACCATATCACAAATTTAATTATATTATATAATTTATTTATATTTTCAGATAATCTTCTAAATGTCAATTTGCCATCAGATTTAAGAGAATATTGTGCGGAGATTAACTTTTCACTGCTACCGGCAAGTAAACTGAGTTTCTAGCGCACCCGTGAGCATCGCTTAACGCGGTTAAATACCTTTAAGTCATTCACATCTCTTATTAAGTCACGCAACTGAGCACGTCAGGTACGTATTTTTACACGCCGGATGCTGTGCCTTATCGATTGCTCCATACTAACCGGTAGCTCGGAATGCCG